CAGACAACCTCTCGTCAATATGCGTTTTTTGCATTGCATAACTGCAAAAAACGCATAAAAACTAAGCATTATAGCAAACACAAATAATATATCTACTTAATACTGTGTGTGTATAAGTAACACGCCGCGTCCTACATACACGTTTATTATACATAGTAGAGTGAAAAGGTAAAATACAAAGGTAGGTGAGGCTCTGGGGAGCCGAAGCTCCCCAGAATAGGAATATTGGTGATTAGCAGTAAGTCGCAGTGAAGGTCGGTAATAATGGTCGGTAGAAGGGGTCGGTGGAGGAGGTCGGTAACTCAACAGCCGTAGTGCGATAAAGGAAAGTTGTTTAAATACATTCTACCGATGATTAATAAACAAAAAGAATGCGCCAGTAAGCATATATCAAAGCACTAAGAGCGCCCGAACAATCTGTGTGAGAGTCCCACGTCAGTGATAACCCTGCAATCTGAGCTGCATCGCCTTATTAATATCCACTCAAAAAGGACAAAACGCTTCTGATTTTTTCATGTTTTCTCTTTTGAGCAGTGTCAGCCTCAGATCCAGTCACAGCTGCTCTGCACCTCGGCTCATTTTGTGCACTAAAGCTCCTCAATGAGGAATTTGCAGTCTCAGACCACATCCACTGCAACAGCTCACTCAGTTTCCCCGATCTGTCTCTTCCACTTTTTTTGCTAGGCTAATTTGCGGTGAACAATATGAGTCTTTGAACAGTCGGGACAATTTTTAAGCGTTTTGTGCCGTGTAACAGCATCACAAAAGGCATATTGTCACGGGGTTGTGTGTATGTCTGTGTGAGTACGTGTATGTGTGTGTGTGCGTATGTGTGTGTGCCCCACATTTTGTCCCGTAATTCCAACTCGGGAATCACAAAAGCTAGGCGGCTGAAATTTAGGTATAGTGTCCCCGCCAGCGGGTGATGCGGCAAATTTAAATTCAGCTTTCCCGTATCCGCGGGTAACACGCACGGCCCCGTGAAAGTTTTTTACGGGTAAATTAATATCTGGAGAACCACGGAGTCTAGAAGGCAGAAATTTTAGGGTAATGAATTCAAAGTTTCGAATTCAGCTTTCATGTGCTGTTGTG